ATATTAAACTGTTTACAGATACGTGGTTTAGCTGGTGCTTTTATTATAAAGTTAACGGGTGTAAGATCTTAGAAAAAAAAATGCCAAGAATAAAACATTCCGTTATTCCTAGGCACAGGGCGGAAAACGGAAACAAAGCATCTGCTTGACGCTGCTTTTAACAGATGGTACCTTGCAAGCTACCGGTGAATTAACCCTAAAGACAGGGCTGTTCCTATGCCACGACTGTTGTGTGAACATTTTCCTGTGATACGGGCCGTTCGTCGAAAGACCATTCGTAATACGCCAACTCGTTGCAGGCCAGTTTCCTACAGGAACGTGTCCCAATTCTTAGAGATCTTTAGGGGCTCTTTATTCGATCTAGGAAACCAATCTCGTACTTCAAAGTATTCGGTACCCCCTTTGGCAAAATGCTCCCATTGAAAGTGTACGGTAAGCACGGAATGAAACCCGAACGCCGGAACGCATGGCCATTGACAAAGGCTCCTCCACGAGGAGGGCCCCTCAGAACTAATAAAAATGCGCCGGGGCGCGCTGTAAGCGCCGTCACTCTAAGGCCCCTGTATACGTCACTCGAGGTGCTTTTGTGTCCCCGCACAGTCGCCCGTTCGAGACCGGGCGGCTACTTAACCTGGCTATAGCTCTTTTCGATAGGCCCTGCTCAGACAGGGTGATGAATTTATTCCGCTCCGGAATTGATACGCTTCTCATATCGGTACTTACCAAAGAGGGCGTCAGCGAGCAATTCCTCGCTTTTTTATAAGAATCGACTGATAACCTCGCACGAAAGCATGCGCATTGCTTACAAACACCGAGGCATCCGCGTCGATCTGTTGCAACATTCTTTTTTTTTTATAAAGTGTATGGTTGTGCCAATAAACGCATTTTATTTTGCGTCTATGACGTTTCACTATTTCTCAGAAACCATGCGTGCCAAGTTGTTCACCAGAGGCCCAGCGTGGTTCCGGTGACACGTCATCAAGCACTACGGGTCTTCTGTGGACGAAGGGTTTCAACTTTCATTTCGCCCTTGCGGTAACAAAGCGATAATTAATGAAAGCGCTGAAGAGATATCGCTGAGCATCCGATACACAAAGGCAGTGGCGGCGCTTTGTGTATCGGATGCGACGGCGCTTACAGCGCGCCACCGGCTAAAAGCGGAGGTCCCAGACGCGCCGCGCGACCCGCACCCTCGCACCCCGGAGCATTTTTATTAGTTCTCAGGGGCCCTCCAGGTGGAGCAGCCTGTGTCGATGGCCACGCGTTCCGACGTTCGGGTTTCATTTCGTGCTGACTCTACATCCAGCAACTACAAATTCACTTACAAAAAATTTTTTTTTTTTGTTGTTCGGTTTTGACATTTTTTTAATCCAGGTGAACGCTCTTGGCAATTATGACAAATTCCACTTTTGCTGCCGAAGTTGTATTGAAACGGAAACATGTGATGGTAAAAGTTCGAAAAAATATATAAATAAAGAGCGATTTTAAAAGCTTGACCCATGTTTGCACGACGAAAGGTCAACACGACTAGGAAATTAAATATCTTTTTTTTACTTTGTAGAGGTACATCAAATATAGCCAGCTGCAGTACGAACACTGGTCTGAACCTCGCCCTACCTTCTTGAGTTGCAACGGACTATAGACCTTTTCCACAAGGGTGCCGCCATCTTGAATTGTCGTCACTTCCAGTATGGGCGAAAACATTACTTTGCCCTCACCACGCCAATAGAAGACATTTAGGATATAAGCCTAACCGTCACACAGTATCGTTTTGGCTCCACTCTATTTTTTTACTGGTTACAGGTTGAAACGTTTTACTTTTTTTTCGTCGCCCATACTGGAAGTGACGACAATTCAAGATGGCGGCGCCCCTGTGGAAAATGTCTATAGCTATCCAGTTGGCGTCCTACTAGTGTTGCCAACTGTTAAAGAAAAGTGTGAATTTTGTTTCATGAAATCTGAAGATGGAGAATGAAATCTGTACATAAAATATCGTCTTGCTCAAAATTTGCCCTTTTTTTACAAATCAAGTTTTGTCCAGCCTACCTTGTGTATTATTTGTCTTTTAGGCATTTGAGAAACCAAACTTAACATTTATTTAGATTATGGCTAGGTATTTATGTATTATTGCTGGAGTCGGTTGCGCTTATAACATTCCATGTATGTGCATTTTTGACTGGGCTTAATTTCTATTTACTAGAATGAATATTTGTAAGTGTATCTTCAATATATTTTCAAGAATATATTTTAATACTAAGCAAATCTATTTTATATTAAAACTGTATTTTAAATGCATATCATATCTACTAACATGCTGTTCTGCATTTAAACACAGTTGACGTGCACTTGGAGTATATTTTAATACATATATTTTCTAGCATAAATCTAAAAGTGCATTTTAATAGTAAATAAAAAAATTCAGAAGCGTATCTCTAGTCTACTTGTAGGGCATTTGCAAATGCAAGGTGCGCTTAAATTGCATTCGGAATCCATTTGGACATATATATCAAACGTATTAGTTTTCTCTAAGGAATACGACCACTACGATAATATGACGACGCCAACGATGAAACCGACGACTCCGAAGACAATGCCCGGCTACGCCGTCAACAACCAAACCGACTACGGCCCCAACCGTGCACAAACAGTGTCTTCGCCCTTGACGACAAGACTGACGACGACACAGGCGACGACTGGAACGACGACATCGACGACGATCCTGACTACGACTTCGACGGCAACCCTCACGACGACTTCGACGACAACCCTGACGACGACTTCGACAGTAACCCAAGAAGGAACTGGACGATAGCTTCCAGGACAACCCCGACTGCAACCATGACGGCGACCTTGATGACGACGCCGAGAACAATACCGATGACGAATGTGATGTCGACGACGACCAGGACGACAACTTTCGGTTCGTCACTCAAGAAGCGGAAGAAGTCCGCCAGCTCGGCGCATTTTGATTAAAGCCGGACAACTTGCTGACGATGGCCGGTACAATCTTTGTCGCCACAAAGCTCAATTCCAGCCCGGCTACCAAGTCTTTATCTGCACACCAATACATCGTCGCAGCGAGGAACTGTTCAAGTGGTGCTTCGGCTTCAAGGTTTTTAGCTACCTGAGGGAGCAAAACAGCAAGCCGTTGCCCGACAGATCATGAATATTGTCACGTCGCCCTTTGCGACCCGAGGGGGATTCACGCCGTCCGGGATCCACGCTGCTGGCTGGGGTTTGATCCCCACCAGCGGTTGTCCTCTTTATATATTTTTTTTTTTGTTTGCATGACTATAGAATGTTCCAGATGACTCGGGAATCTTCTTGTTTGTTTGACCCCACAAACTTCTAGATACTTACGCGCTTACAAAAGGAGCTTCGCATGGCTGCTTGAGTGAGTCGTCCTTCCGTCGCCGTCAAAGTATGTCCTTGTTAATTTATGTTTCTCGGCAAAAGTTCGCCGCATTAAACGTTCATTTGAAGTTCTATTAGTCAAGCTTATTTTTTTATTCGTGACAAAAGGGCTCTTGATTTTCACTGAGCAGCTTAGGACAGCTACAAGCGTTGACTGCCGGCGAAACGTGCCGGCGAGAGCTGTGTGGCGCCATACCATGTGGTGGTTTGTGCGCGACACATTTTGTGCCTCCTAATCTTTGTCAGCATGATGAAGGTCCTGAAATTGCGTTTTTCTACTATTTAATTGTACATTCAAAGCATACGTTTTCAAACAATGGCAAATCCGGGTTATAGATGCAGCAGCTATTACATGGCACGCACTTATGAAAAGGGCCTATAGTCTCGCAGTGCATGGCGTCCGTTTGTGGTGCAAATGTCTCCGATACTGCCGAGGTGGGATCTCTTCGTCAATCCGTCAAATGCCATAGGATAACAGTGACTGTAGATTTGGTGAAAGCACGCACACGCGGACCGTTCGTTTTGACAGAGCTTCATATCTTTTGCTGCAATTACCGAAAACGAAGGAGCACGAAGGAACCGTCGAATAACGGAGTGTAGTTACATCCCGAAAGATAGCCCATCTACGGTGCAAAGAAATAAACAAAAAAACAAAACATGGTGAACGCATTTTCAAGAAGGTTAGTCAATAACAATCGGGATTGACCAATACCATCCAGAAGACAAAGCTTGCCTATAACGCTATTATTGGTGGATCCCCGCCCGATCTGCCCGGAGTGGCAAACATGCTGTAGCTCAAAGAAAGTCGCCGAAAAACGAGAGACACTTCCGTCTTGGAGTTGATGCATACTAGAGATATTTCTGTTTACCTAAGTCCGGACGTAGCCGAAGCTGATAAGACTAATCAAACAGCATGAAAAGCGCAAGCCACTTGTCCTTCCGTGTACATGTTTGGTTCAGGAATGATCAATCACAGAAACACGACGAACATGACCTTGGTGCGCTTCTGACGTCGTTTTCTTGGTCCCATCGTCACGCTCGTTGTTAGATGCTCCAAGACGGGCTGATAACGATGCTGACGCAAAGTAAATGACGCTGCGTGGGTGACATATGGGGAGGAACTGCGCAGGGTCTGTCTTCTAGGTGGTATCGGATTGACAGCTAGAGCCACTAAATAACCTTCGCTTAGAGTATCGGCACTCTGTTCCCCGATATTGTTGCGGGCGCCCCGATTTCGTCCAGAGAAAACGCTACTGCCGATCGTCACCATTCAAAAGTGAGACTTCTTCAGCATTATATTCGGTGTTAGGAAGCTCATGTAATGTTGCTTTGCTATGTCGCGAACTGTTTAAACATTTGTGAAGGACGGAAAAGCGCTCATTGTAATTTTAGATAAAACTTAAGATAAGTCGCAACCATGATTTTAAGCCCCAAGATGAGTAAGTGTCGTTACTCTAAACCGTAGCTTTTTTAGTGGCACTAAACAGAGCGTGATATATAGAGTGAGGCAGCAGTTTTGAGGTTCAAGGCAATCCGGTTGTAGTGTAAACTGTCGCTGCCTATGCGGCCGAGGTCAGGTCTTGCCATCATTCCGTCAAGTGCCAGAGGTGAACGATGCCTGCTTCGGTGTAAGGACGCGGACTCGGACCTTCTGAATCGATGAGACGCAGCTTTATATCTTTACCTGCTGTTGACGAAACGTGAAAAAAAGAGAAATGAGTCATTAACTTACTCCGCTGTTGTTCAATTGTTGTTTCAATGAAAGTGAGCTGGAGCTCTGGTACGCGGCTTGAGCCAATGTGGAGCCCAAGTGCGTCTGCTTTTGCACAAGGGCTGCGATGATGTCGAACGCCAAGTTCTTGTTGTCTGATGAAAAAGAAATATTAGGTAGGCCTCAAGGCATCTAGCATTGAGGTCTACCCACTATCCTTCCAATCAAGGCCAATCAGAAGTCGGCGTCGTTCTGACGTCATCACAACCCCTGCGCAAGAAGCAGACGACTTGCTCTCCACATACCATCTAGAAGATAAGGCCTGCGCCCTGTCCTCAAGATATCTTCAGGTAGTGGTGTCACGGAACGCCACGACATCAAGTGACGTCAAGTTCTCCGCTAAGAAGAGCGGAAAAGTTACGCGTGACGTCAGGTCACGTGACGTCAATTTATTTTAGCAGGAAAATTGGCCCGATGCCCGGAGACGGAATGTCAAGTTTCCCGCTAAATTTAGCGAAAAAAATTTCGCATGACGTCGGATCAGGTGACCCGACCTCACGGTGTCAAGTCGAGGTGTCACCCGATACCATGACGTTGCGTGACATCGGGTTACGTGACATCAATTACCGCTATATTTAGCGAGGAAATGCACGAACGAACGGCGTTAAAAAGCGCTCCATTCCTTGAAAAGCATTTAGAAGGCCCTAGAACTTCACCCAATAAAAACTGCGATTACGAATTTCGCCCGAATTCAGCTGCACTCGCACTGCTCGTACACCAGACAAAAAGAGACGATGTTCATCACAGACGTGATGACAGAATCATCTGCGGACTCGCCTCAAAACACGTTTGAAGCATGTCCAGTGTGAGAGGGCCGTCGTATGCAAGGAAGACCCAGACGAGAGGGCCGTCGTAGCGGTGGAACGGCCATTTTACAGTCAGCGAAAGGCTAAGAATTGAGCTGATGCTCCGCCTTCAGCACGGGTTCGTTGCCCTCTCTCGGCGGGCCTTGGCTAAACGGGCGACAAGAGCGTTCAAAGGCAGAAGACTCATGCTGGAGGCAGAGCCTTTCATTAGTTAGTCACCCGCCACCGAGTATAGTTGGGAGCAACTATGAAAGGGTACACACCGAACAGCTTCCGAACAACAGCCTCCGGCATATTTTTGGGAAAGCCTGAAAAGAAATAGAAGCAAGGGACGGCGGTTCAGCGCGAGGAAGTGCTTATGCGACACACGTTTATATTGTCCGAGTCCATAAAATAAAATTAAGACAACTCTTCGAAGCACTTTCACATAAATTTAATCATTGCAACAAACTCAATAAAAAGAACAAAAAAAAATTGAGGACACCTAAGCACTCCTTATGAGTTGTGAATGCGAAAGCATGAATGTTGTTCGTCCACTCCCTTAGTTCGTCGGCGGTGTACTAGCGTGAACGGCAACATTTCGCTACTGCCGATGCTGCGGCCGCCGACAATATAGATGCCTCAGGCGCCACTATGTTCCTCGGCGCCGAGAGGAGCAAAAGCGGCCGCAGCCCCCCACCCACCTCCGGCAAAGTTTGCCACGCGAGCAGCGGCCGAGCACGCGCTCTCTTGAAGCGGCCGCCAATGACCATCTAGGCGCCGTTTTGCTCAGCCAATGGGAGAATAGATGGGCATTTCTTTCACATTTTTTTCGCGGTTACACATGCCGCCGGCTCCGCTCCATGAGATCGTTAATGCTTTCGCTTTAAAAAGACAATTGACTTATTGTGCACTACCACGCATGCATGTCGCACCCTATATGCCATTCAAGGGTTTCAATAACCCAGTTTCTATTGAGAAAACCATGATACTAATTAAACAACGATTGTCCAGGCTTTTTTCTGCTCCAACTGTTTACAAGAAGTTATTTCTGCCCCAAGTATCGACTTTTTTTCTTCTTTTTTAGATATAATTGACAATTTAATTTTATTTGGTTTTGTATAACTCCGCTATAACGGAGGCAACCTAAGTATTTAAAAATTCTTAAAAAAGACACAAAATTGGTAGTCCTGTGTAAAGCCGCAGTAAAATCACAATGATATCTTATCGGACCCTAACGTATACTCATGTAACTTGCACTTACGAATCATGCGCTTTACATGGTAAACCCAACGCCAATGTCAGCACGGAGAGGGACAAAATCCGGCGCTTTACGTGAAGGACCCAAAGTGGAGGACCCAGACATTGGCGTTGGGTGCACCGCACAAAGCGCCAGATTCATGTGTATGCTACTCTACAAATAATTGTCGCGTGAGTAGCTAGTAATCGCGTGACATCATTACGTCATAAGATAATTTCTCTAGAATTTGCATAGAAAATTTTTGAAATATTAACCATGTAGAGCTTCTAAACTATAAGAAGTTCTATTAAATTTTATGTGACATCTTGATGTCACATAGCAGTGTGATATCCCGCTCCGCGTGACGTCAAATGCAATCGATCAACCCGCACATGCTAGTGTTTTAAAAACTCAATGTTCACTGTGGAGAAAGAAATGTTGAATAATATGACTCTCACCCTCGTAAGTACTGTCATCGTAGACGATGGTCCACAAAGCGTAGGAGAAGTTTGGTGACAGCAATGACTTCATCAATGTGACGTATCTGTGTGATAAGGTAAGATTACATATCCAAAATAATTTGAAACAAACGATTCATATATGCTATATTTATATTGGGCCATTCATTGGAGCGTTTTATACCTGGCCATGCCATCTACCGTAATACTGTAAACGACTTATTTTTAGCTGGCTCAATACTGCCGACTTGCCTGTCTCTGAGCTCCACGTCGATTGAGCTCAATGCTCCTCTATCCCACACAATGTCCATTGCTCCGGCGCACGACCTGAAATATAAAACAAAGATCAAGTAAAGGTCGCGTCAAACAATATTAAATAAATTTGTAGCCTTGTCACGATAGCTTCCTTACGATACGATACTTGGACACTGGTGCAGACTATCGGACGTGGCTATGGTGGAGGATTCTGAAACCCCCTTTGGCCAAGCGTAGCACGTTCATGGTGCACACAGCCAGTCACACCCTCTCCCTGCCGTCAATAAAGGCGTTCATGGCTATTTCCCGAAAACAATAAAAGAGAAGCCGATGTCGAAGAAGCGCCTTTCCGTGCCTCTCGCAGAGGCGAAACTCTTCAGGCCGGTTCAGACTCCAGACCATCCCGGATCCCAGGTTGCGGATAGCGGAAGCCGCAAGGTCAGTGAGGCTTCCCGTGGCGGGTGGAAACTTTTGGTGTTCAGATTGACCGGTTTGGATAGCCGACCCCACGGTCCACGATGCGGAAGGTGATACTTTTTTCCCTCGCCCTAGAGAGAAGACTTGTGAAAGGGGGAGAGAGAGAAGACTTGCGAATAAGCCCCTCGCCCTTCATGCTAAAGGTGACATGGGCTGTCGATCAAGTCACCTCGAAAGCGTCGCGGTCCAGGCCAACACCTGGTTAACCAAGCTGGCCCAGTAGTACTATTCCTTGGGACCAATCTTGGTTTTGCCAGGCAATTTAGGATCTTCAAAGCCGCAAAGACCAAATGTGTAACAAACTTCATATCCTTCGGCCAGAGCTGGCTATTTTGGCTATAATTTTCCAAACAAGTGCCAGAGTCAGGTTTCACTGTCTTGGCGGCTCGGCTGTCACCTGACTTGTTTTGAACCTCAGTTCCTGAGCAAATGCATGAATTAGGATTAATAGACCTGTTTCTAAATTACCCAAGCATCAAGGAGAATTCAGGGATTGGTGTTCCAGACGCTAGGGTGCCTGCATGTCTGTCTGTTTTAGGGTAAAGACATCCATTGTTGCACTGAATGTGCCAGCGCGTGACACTCTCGCGCACTCGGTGCGTGACTTGGGCGATAAAATGGCGTCTGTGCATTAACCAAAGCTGCGGGCTCGAGCTGAGTAACACCGCATGGCGCGCACTTCAAAATGCCTAGAGAAAACGATTGGGCGTGAAAATGGCTGAGATGTCACCACTCAAGTAAAAGCGCGCGTGTGTATGAAGGAACTCTACCAGACGCCACACGCGCGCGCCCTCCCCGTATAAAAGATTCGAAGTAAATAAAAAAAAAAAAACGTTAGCGAACGCGCGTGCATGCACGATTCAATTTGTTTTAGGTAGGGTGCCTCAATGTCCTTATTTAGGCATTTGGTTTAGAAAGGTTGTTACTGCTGAGGCCAGCACGTGCGGCGCGTGAAACACTAATGCCTGCACTCTCCTTGATGTTTGGGTAATTTAGTCATAGGTCTATTTCCGGTTGCACGGGCCACCTTGGGCCAGACCTAGGCAGCATCACGATACAAAGGTATCGCGATGGCATCTCACAAAAACCTTCGAATTTCTGTACCTCTGTATAAAGATACACTTGAAAAGTGTATTTGTATTTCAGTAGGGAAATACTTTTATAATGTATCGCGATACCCTGCTAGGTGTAAGTACCTTTTTTGCATTATTACCAAAAGTAACTGCTGGGATTTGCTCTAAACTAAGATTACACTTTCAGCGCGGTTGGGGAAAGAATAAGTCTTATACAAGTTACTCGAAAAAGTTAATCGATTACAATTACCCTTGGTTAAAAAGTATCCAATCGGATTACTTTATTACTTGAGAATAAAAGTATATGGCCTTTAATTGACGAAGTAACGGTTATTTTCTTGATCAACTTCAGATTTTCAAAACTACTAATTTTTCTGTAGGTGGATCTTTCGTACTGCATGTCCATTACAGTAATATAATCGGCAAATTGTAAGTAGTTTTCCGTGCTTTCGAATAAATTTGAAAGAAAAAAAACTCCGAAAAACACAGGCCGGTTCAATTTTGGTCAATTCGAATTTATCCGATAAACTCCAAATTTTGATGTCCCAATGCCCCCTTCTTGCCCTTCTTCCCCCCCCCCCCCCCCCGCCCAAAAAAAAAATTATTTTATTTAATTAAGTTTGATCAGCGCATCACGGGAAAATGCCGCCACAGTTCTCCTTCAAACCTCGGATTATTGTCTACAGGGGTTACCGCTTATCTCGTCAAAGTTCATTCAGGACAGTCATTGTACTTTCGGGTCACGACAAAAACCGCTGTTTTGGTTTCCAGTTTTGGGCCATACTATTCGTGCTTTAGGAGAAACTGTGTTTTTGTAACGATGAAAGCTATGAACCATAGAGAATGCATAAAATGGGAAAGAGGGGCAGTTGAATAGTTCTCCATTACATCCTTTACCACTCCGCCCGGCGCGGCCGCGGGATAGGTTGATGGAAGAGGATGGAATACATACTAGCTTTCTAGAAGTATGTCAATTTTAAGGTATCGACGTTTATCGAAACATCACTTGCGTGCAACTTTTGTCGTGGTACAAATTAGTATTGCCAACAGCAATGGCACCAAGACGAAATGCAGCTAAAGAAATACTAATTTTTACAAGCGCGTTTTATTATTTTATTGAACACCCGGGTACCTTTTTATTTCTATTCTTTAATTACAAAACACTGCGAAATTGAACTCCGAATTTCGGAGAATTGAGAGTCGAGGAAAAATAAGCCCCGGTAAACTCCGAATTTCCGGCAAAAAAAAAATGAACTCCAAATAACACCCTCCGATTTTGACGAGAGGAAAACTCAGGAAAGACGGAATCCTAACTATAAGCTACTCATATTCTTAATCCACCAATTTTGGTAAACCGTCCTTCTGTCCGGGAATTGGCTCGAGGATTGCGTGATACTCGTAAAAACAAAGGGTGCCATTAGAAAGGGGAGCGAAAATAAGTAACGGTTACAAGTAATCGTTAGTACTTTAAAAAGTAATCAGATGATTATTAACTGCGTGTTGTATGGTTGATGCGTGGCATTTCTGGTCGCTCGTGTTTGGCACGGGAAAGAGTTGAGCATGTTGGTTCCACATATTTAGAAGACGCCAGCTGAACAAACCAAGCATACAAATGTAAGGAGGACGAGAGAGACGGCATTCCAGCGGTTCAATGCCCGTCTCTCTCGTCCTCCCTACATTTGTATGCGTGTTTGGCACTTTCGCAATTATGTGACGAACCAAAGAAAAGTCGTAAAACCGCCAGAAAAAAAGGGTACTTTGCCACCAACTAACGCCCACGTTATGCACCTGGGATTGCAAAATTTAGGCCAAGTTGTGCCCTCCCCTGGCGAGCTGTCTGGAGTAATGCTGCATTGCAGCGTCACTAAAGAAGGCCCAGGTAGGGCACAAATCGGACACGGCAGCTGCGTCATCGTGTGGCTTTAACAGTTGTTCTGACCGACTGAACACAATACCAGCCGAATGTTTAGGCAACTCTCCTGTCCAATCTTTGACTTATACGTAGGCCTTTCTTGTAGTGACGCAAACATTCATCATTGCGGCTTTGTTATTTAGGAGAGGTTTCGGCTCCTCTCAGGGCCCCGAGAGTTGAAATACAATCGTCTACGAATGCGGCTAGCGGAGGCAGCAACACGTCACTGCGATGTCGTCACACGACACGCCAGCAGTTGGCGGTCTCGGGTGCTCGTAACCCGGAATACACCGTCAGCACACCGAACTCTGACTGCAAGGATAGTGGGTAGACGCAAAGGCTAGCTGCCCTTGTCGATACCCATTGTCCCCCTCTAATCAGAGTGAACGAGAGCGTCGTTTGCTCTTCGCGATGGGGTCCCGTTCGAACGTCGAACGACGCGCAGGGTCCTAGGAATGGAGCAGACGACGCCCTAGCTCGTTTTAATTAGAGGGAGATCGTGTCCAACTTTCTGGGATCTATCAGCTGGCAAGCTCCAAGGAAGAGCGGCATTCGAAAACGGTTCTCCTCTGTCGCCTTCACGCGGGCGGGCACGGACAGATAGCATTATGCTCCACCAGCGACAAAGCGTCCATTGGGAACGGGGAAGGACCTTTTTCAAATGACTGATCCTTTGGCGCAAACTTTATGTTTGCCATAAAAAAACAAAAAATTGCCATAGATTCATTTTCCACCGCAGGCAATGTGTATCCATCGCTAAATTGAATTCCGGCTCTTCTGTCTTAGGGCGGGCTGATAGCGTGGCAATCGCCACCGAGCGGACACGTCACCACACCAGGCGTTCTAGAATTCATTCTAGGAAGCTTTTCAACTTACTTTAATCCAGTATCGTTAACCGTGTTGCCCTCCAATTGTTCGTTTTGACTGGCCCCTCCGCGCCTGTCTGCCCAATTTTTACAATAGTACAAATTGGTATTTTTGCACTCATTGAGCATTGTGTACAAGAGTAGTATACTTACTTGTTGAAGTCAAAGACGTTGCAGACGAATATTCGCAGTCTCGTATCGGGGGTCTGCGAAGAAATCGAGAATGTGACAAGACGTAAATTTGGCAAACCATGTTAACATGGTTTGCCAAATAGCCTTCCAGAAGTTACAGGCTTAGAGTTTCAGGCAACGAGAGGTCTGATCCCCTTGCAAACAAGGCACACGGACTCTCCGACAATCTGCCTTCTGCGGTTCTATGAAGCACGTCCCTTCATCCACGCATATTGCCGACAATGCCACTTTCACTCAGTAGTGCAAATGGTAGCCCACCACTTGAATTTCGCGAATGGCTTCCAAACGTGAAGCGCGCTTACTTGACCGCTTAAGGTCAGGTTGCGCAAACACCTGATCCACGCTTTAGAAACTTCCAAATAATCAAAGATACCAGCTGTCAATAGCGCGGGGCGCGGGAAGAGATTGGACAAGTGTCTCTTTCCTGCTCGGAATATGCCATAGAGTTATTATAATGTACGCTAAAGGTTCAACTGGCGCTAGTGTCTATGCGACTTCCGGGAGGCAAATTGAAGCAGACAGCAACCAGTCTACTTTTGCGGTGCTCCTGTGTATTCCTATGGGAAAACGCGCGTGCATTTTGTCTCTTCGCCAGAAAATAACAGGAATAACTTTTATTATTTCGGTTGTAGCGGATAGTATGTACCTTTATTAATATTATAAAACTGTAATTGCATTAATTACAGCATTTTTCTTTACTACTCAACGATGTTACGCTTCGCTATATTTCAGGCCCAAACCTCTGTTCCATGGCAGGTATGTAAAAACGAGCGACGATTCTGAGCAAAATAACGATCGAAAGGAATGTAGAGTGTGTTCAAGGTTCGCTAGCATTCCGGTGTCCCTTATGTATTGCTAATATGCCCGTCCTGTCACTCTATGAATATGACTCCGTCGTGCATTACGATCGGTCAAAGAACATTCGAATGTAAAAAAAATAAAGTACATGGGCTACGAAAGGTGTGTCTTTTTATTATTTCCTATGTCAGGCAGTTTTTATCGGACACCTGTTCTCTGACTTCTCCCTATTTGTAGAGATTTGGAGGGTGCGGTTGATGATTGGAACCTAGAACATGCATCTTCGCACATATTCGTGAGCAGAAAGAATAAAGGAGTACTTATTTATTGCAAATCGGACTATATTATGTGGATTTCAATTTATTTTGATCGCCTCCATGCACAAGGAGTTACTTATCCAGTGTTATTGCGTAGTTTTTGCCGTCTCGGTTTTGCGCATGTCCTTCGGTCGTTTGACACGTATATCCCCCATGGCGGAAAGCGCCCACGCCATGTTCGCGCTAACAGTGTCCGACAGTGCACACACACAAATACATGCACGAAGCGGTTTTAGCACCGTTTTTTATGCCACGACCTTCAAATAAAAACGCCGTAGCTGACCAATTATTTCGTCTGCGTGACTGAGAAACGTTCCAATGCGCCTAGTAAGTACGAAATATTCGTGATATTTGCTCTTGTAATCGAGCGCAGCGAGAAAATGCACTGGCTTTTTTCCATAGAAATGCATTACCGGAAGTCAATTTCAGACTGGTTGCTGTCTGCTTCAATTTGCAGCAGCACACTAGCGCAATTCGAACCTCTAGCGTACATTATAATAACTCTATGGTATATGCAGACGAGCAGAAGAACCATTACAACAGACCGATCTCACCAAGCGTTCGACGCATGCGTGACGCCGCCATAACTTTAGTTCATCGGTGGCAAACGGCATAGCACGAGAGGGCTTGTGCGGTCTCGTGCTCCACACGCGCAGAGCTCCAGTGAGGTTGTCGCACGCGCAGGAAAACTAAAGCTCCCTCGATGCATGGCGGCAGCGGTGGCGTATTTAGACTGGCTGGTGAGAACGGTCTATTGGTATGCAGCTAGTGTTCATTGCCAGTCGACGGTCGAAGTTCTTCCCGGGGCACCACGCGGAACTGCAGACAGAGACTGCAAAGCTTTTGAAAAGTGTTTGCGGAAGACGGACCTGGAGAACCGTCTGTGAAGAGGTATCCTAAACAAGAAGCCGAATCAACTGTATTCGTTTGAATGCAATCGCCCTAGACTTCGCACCGCAACAATTTAGAGTTTTAGAATAAAGGAACTTTGGATCCAACAAGCTTGCGGCGTCGCACTGCGTTGCATACTTATTCTAATACTCTCTAATAATTCGAGCCCAACGATAAATTTCTACACTAACTCTGTCAACGATCCTCGGTTTTTCCCATCCCAACGCCGAGTAGCGACTTGCCTCGTACAGGAGGCCTTTTCCTTGAACAACACCGAACAAAAAAAAAAAAAAAAAAAGGCAGAGAAGCAATGAATCTTCTACGACAAGCGTTTTGCGAATGTACGAGCGTTACTTCCATCTTGCGGCAAAGACCGACATATGTTTCGAAAGAATTCAAAAGGACAGGCAAAGTAGCTGCAGCGAGACTTCCTATATTTGGTTGTCGTTTCAGACGGAAATGTCTTGTTAAGTAAGCCCGTAACAATATTACAAGTATTTTTTTTTTAAGAATCCGGACTTTACAGAACAAAACATATATGGCTGTTGCCGGAAAACGCGCACGCTAGCTAATTAGAGATGACAGTTGCGTCGTCTGCTGTTATTCATAATTCTATGAGAGCACCTCCTTAAAATAGACCTGGTGATCATTGTCATTACCGTAATAATCATTCTCATAATGACTTACTTTCCTAACGCCAATACCTTCGGTGCCTGTGCGAGGTCGCGCACTCGTCTTTGCTATATTAAAATGGTTTAGCGTGTTCCCTACGCCTTCTTTATGCTACCTTTAGATTGTCGTACCCCTCTGCGTTCCGGTGCGCCAAAGACGCATTTTAGAACATTTGCTCGTCGTGCAAGATATACACATACACTTATGATCAAAATTAGACAGTAGATAGGCGGCGTAATCCGCCGTCCTTTTCTATAGGTCATTCAACTACCGATATAACCGTACGAAAAAAAAATATTTGATCATGGCTGGTGTGCCTGGGAAGGTACTGCGTTATTGAATTGTCCAGGTGGTTAAAAACTCTACCTGAAAAATCTTGCACTTGAGAACGGGACACACCGCTTCGTCGAAAGGGAGGTTGTTTTCGACGAAAAAGTCCCGGGCAACCGCTTCAAGGAACTCCACGCCGACGACGCGATGTCCCTTGTTGTAGAACCTGGTCACGACGATTCATATATTACAATCAAATTACAGTCACAGTGAAATAGTGCACATCCCACATGAACCAAGTTAGTATTAGGGCAGCATTTTTGGTTTAGTGCAAATAATATCAGGTATTGTGCCGATATAATAATAATAAAACAATAATAAATTATTATTATATCTTAGCAAAAAAAAATTTTTTTTTGACACTGCGCAACAATCTATTTAAGTTATGAAAATAGAGAAGCATTCATCAGCGCCTTCTTTTATCTTAGCCCCAAGATAAGAATATTTATGACAAATATCCAGGCAATTCTGTTGAATACGTGAAAAGTTCAGCATCAGAAACGTCTAGCAATACTCTGAGTTTCAAGACGCCGGACGACTACGTTGCGCCTGATGTACAGATGGTACATCCGGAGTACCATCCGTAGTACACCTGACGGTTGCTCCTGGAATGAAGCGACACAACCGGTAATTGGGTTGATAAACCTGGCGGTCTTCCAGAGCCTTGCAGACTCGCGAACATCCCTTCCTCAGTGCGCACTGGTAGTCAAGCTCCTCCTCGCCTACCCCTCTGATCGGATTGCCTCCCTTTACCCAGTCGCAGAGCTTTTTCTCGCCTACCTTACTGCTCCTCGCATACCCCTCCGATCGCATGACCTCCCCGCAACCAATCAGCGTGGAGCACCTCAATCATCCTCTTTCTCCCGTCAACCAATCAGTGTCGAGCCTCCATCCGCGCTTTTATCTGGGCTTCACGAAATGCCGAACAACTAACTAAAAACGTTAAAAAAAAAGCATTGCCTAATGCTTATAGTGTACCTCGACATGTTTGGCATATAAGGCGTCCTGCATTTTGCCTCCCATATGTGAGTCTTGTGTCCCAGCAATACCGAAGATAAGGTTTGCGCGTTACGACATCGTTAGTCCATCCCTGACCCCGCCCCGAGCGGAAAACATGCTGAGACTCGACAAGAGGCACCGCAAAGCGGCAGACGCGTCCTTCTTGGACGCGTCTGCCATCATCGCGCTCGTTGTGAGGCATTGCAAGACGTGCTGGCTGCGATGCTGACGAAAGGTAGGCGGTGCTGCGCTAATCCGCTATTGATGTCGTTTGGGGCACAAAGGCGCACATCTTGTCCATGATGAGGTATATACCTTCAACTCATCTCTGTTACTCTGTTACGTCACGGCGCGGTGGTGGCGCGTCGGGCGCACTTCCGGCCTGGGGCTGTGGGCGGAAGCGGCCATGGGGCACGTGCATTCCTGTGTTACTTTGGAAGATACCGGACAAAAGCCTGCCTTCTCGCCAAAACGCCGCGACTGAGCCTTTACCAAAAGAGTCGGGAAAGGTTTGAAGGTCAGTTTTCATGCGTATTCTGCCTGCTCGGTTCGTCCGAGAACGTAAAAAGGGCCGGTAAAAAGGAAAAAGAGACGCCGTCGGACCACGATTGCTCGGGCGGAAAGCACGTTGGATTGAATTCACGGATACATGTGGCCGTCAGATTTATTTGTTTTGTTCCAGCATGAACGCGGGAACACCGTCAAGTTTCACGGACCACCTGCGGACTACGTTCAATGCGTCATCACGTTAAAACGGCCGCCTCATCGTTCGAGCTGTCGTCTGCTCTCTCAAACGTTTCTGCTTGTCGTCTGCTTTTCTAGACGACAAGGGCCCATAGACCAAACGTTAACCCGGTATTTGCGATAAGAAGTGCAGACCTCAAAAGACGTTTAAGATTGAAGGTTGCTTCGGGTAAGTAGGCTCGGTGTAAACAATAGATATGAGGATATGTTGATAATTGTTACCAGTGGCCATCACCGACTTGTTATGCCTGATTCACTCGGTGCGATTGTACTTGCGATTTTCAGTATCGACGTCCACATCTCAGCTACGGTTCAGGCTTTTGCAGCCCGAGCGACGTCATGACTGAAAATATCGAGCAGAACCTCACCCTGTGTATCTGCAGGCTTTAGCGTACATTCTGCGGCGTCCACGCGCAATGAATCGCCACATGTCACATTATTCACGGGAAGTTTTGCGGTGTAACGAGCCTCAGTAATTTCGCTGAGGCCGCTCAAGTAGCCAGGCATTGCGAGCAAGACGTAGAATCAACAATTCGAACGCGAAAAAGGGCAGGGGGACTCACACCGACGCCGACAACATCGTATTTCAATGGTTTGTTTATAGGCGATGGCGGCCTTCTTGCTCTCACCCCCATCGCGCATGCGCGGCGTCGGTGGCGTCCGCTAGGGGCGCTCCGGTTTGTTTGTAAACATAAATTGGTTTACAGATGTTTGCAAGTACGGCCTCTGGACGCCACCATATTGTTTCTTGCGTGTGTAGATCGTCTGAAAGTGTTTTAAGTATATATGTAAGCCTACCAACTAGCCCAAACTTCTACGTTAATCAACATTACTAGATTACCTCAGTTGCGAAACTTCGGGGGAAAAAAGGGGGGGGGGGGGGGGTAAGGGTACCCCTTTACTCGCTCCAATCCGTGTCTAAGGAGGTTATATTAAAACTTAAGTCCTAAATATGACCTCCTTGTCCGTGTCCCGTTCTTCGAACCGCCATCTAGATTTTCACTTCAAAACTGTGTGTTCTATAGGGTATGGTGAAACGCCATCTAGGCAGCTGTGTTTTGAGACATACGTATTCATAAAGTACATTCAGTTACCATAGAAATACACTCTAAGAAAAAAGGGAGGAAAAAGGTAGCAACGGCGCATTTTTCTCCCTTCTACTGACGCGACCCCCAAGCGGACACGAGATGAAGGAAGGAACGAGATGTTTTTCTCCTTCCTTAGACAGACGGGAGAAAGCTTTCGCCCTCCCGACTCATCTTTCGGTTCGTTTTTCATGCACGTCGCGCACGTTGTCTAATAAATGTTGTTGAGTTTATTGAGCTTCAGCGACAGCGAAGGCCGCTAGTCATTCCGTCTCCCAGTCGAAACGTGCACAATATTTCGGTTGCATTCACGTTTTTACCACTAATTTGATCAAACGAGCAAACGAAGCCGCTAGAAACAGCGAAGTTCCGAGGCAGTGCCAGAAGCGCTACGTACACTGGGTAAGATGGCCGTCTCCGGATCGCGGGACCCACGCGGAACCCCGCAGAACTGTGTCGACGTTTTCGACGTTATGGAAATCGCAGAAACTGCGTCCAAGACAGGCAGGTCTCGCTACCCGGTGCCTGGGTGCCTTCTGTGTTGAGTTCGGTTCTGTTTTCCGATGCCGAGTGCCAACCGGCAGTCAAAGTGGTTCTGTATTTCTACAGTGTCAGCAACATTGCAGCAACGTCGCGATGGCAGTGCTGTGCGTTGTGAACAGAAGACTGGAATGATCGCCGATGAGACCGTGTGTTCGCTTGTCAGTGGTGTAACAATAAGATGAGATGACGTAAACTGTCGGGCATTGATGCCGCTGGTGGGGCCGTGATCGGAGGGGGCGGGGTGTCGCAGGTTGACATTCCGCTTTACATTAAAGAGTTTAAGACCACTTGAGGGATTGGGTGCAGTCGATCGACGTGCGGATAGTCATGTTGGAACGCTGGTCTGAACCGTAATTAGCTCCTATCGTACAGGGGCCAATATAACTGTAGGTTGTCTCCTCCCCGAGAGCAATTGCGCTCTGGGGAAAGGACGGAATAGTACGAAAATATGACGGAAAGTACGTATATTTAGAGCTTGGAATTTTAGCATTAAGGAAAATTGGTAAGTAAAATAAAAGGAAGCTATCCTTCATGTTGTTAATTAAATATACTACGTTTCCTGGAGAAACTGCCCTCCAAGTGGCGCGTTGGGATGAGCGCTAGATGTTTTCGAGCTCGCCGCGGCGTAGCTCCGTACACTTAACACCTGCCGCAAGTCGCGTCTTTGACTGCATTGAAGTTGATCGAAAAGCGATTTCTCTGCCCATGAAGCATCACTTCAAGCTGAGTGAATATCCGTTCTACAGAGATTAATTCAAGACGACAATTGCAGCCGTGCGCGAACAGCACAAATAGAAAAGCAAACAGCACAATAGAAATACTGGCTACGACGTGCCGAGCGGGGAAGCAAACACATGGCTTGAAACCGCATTAGAGCGGTTTGATTTATTGGCTTTCAAATAATTACGGCATGATCGAGCGTTTACTTTTTATAAGAGATAAAATACTCTCAGTGGTATGACATTGCTGGCAAAAAATCAACACGCTGGGAATAGTTTTTATTGCTTAGGCAGTGACCGAGAAATTCCGTACGTTCAAAACGACCAGTATAAAAGATGGAAACGCACAGCTCGGGTGCAGTGATCGGGTTAGTGTGCTCAACGTTACTAAAACCCTCAGTTGGGAAACTCGCCCTCGAAACCTGGGCCGCTGGCGTCCACCGAGACCGAGCTAAATACGATAACAGCGCCACCCTTTAGCGACGAGTTGAAACATGAAAGTTCCTTTACATAGCTACTGTGAGATGCCCCAGCAAGATGGCGCCACCGGCCCTTGCCCGACTCGACGTGCAGTAGTGTAGTTCCCGGAATTAACGCTGCGGGAGAAATAGCGGCGTTGCGATCGCCATTAGCTCGGTTCTCGAGTACGGATCGGAGCCACTCGTTCAAAGCAGGCTCTATGGCAGTTTCCCAACTGAGGGGTTCTAGTAACGTTGGTGTGCTGTTGTGTTGATGCTTGTATGTGCAAGTATGTGTATGCGCTCAATGTATGTTCAGCTGATGCTTGTAGCATGCGTAATGTGTCTACATGTGTGTATAATAAAGGCTCCCGAAAATCGCGAAGCGCAATGGTGACGCGAGGAAATAAAAATATTTTTTTGTAGAACATGAATTGGGCGTTGCCTAGCGCCACCTAGCCTAGCTACTTGGATTTAATCTGCTTTACACTGCCATCTGGTGGCAAGTGATTTAACCTTCTTTCACGCTACGCGATAACCAGCGGCTTCGAGTTCGTTCTTTTGAGAGCGGCTTTTGGTTTCGCCAGATTGGGTTGCCATTCTTGCGTGATGTGCGCTGATGTGCGGTTGACAAAGGAATTCGGACTCGAGGAATAGCATAGATAAGACGTAAAGTGCGCGAAGTAACTGGTTATCGGTTGTCTTCGTTTAACATCGCAGTGCTGACGACGAAAAGACTGAGTAACTGCTTTTAAAACGCAGGTTTCTGTACCTACGGGGGGAATCTGGCTTCGGAAATAAACACAGTTCGCGGAAAGCTCGTGTTACGCTTTTATTTGCTGCTCCTTTGGTCCCGTACAAGAGACGCAGTGTCCTCGTTAAGCCTTTTGAGCTAGATTTGCTCATTCGGGGCCGCCATATTGAGATGCAGGTGACGGAGGAACTTTGCTCCCCTGCTTTAGGTACGAAAGTTTCTCCCTTTGTAAAGAAACACAGGGTACAAGAACGTTCCTCCCCTTAGGGAGGACTATTGATACCCTTTTTTCTAAGAGTGTAGTCCCCTTGAAACGGTGGAGCGTCGAACAAAGGGAGGCAAGCCGTGGCGATAGAAATGGGGGGGGGGGGGGGGGTAATCTAGTAACGTTTACGATAATCAAGCCTTACCACAGTGTACTAGTAGTCTTGCTAAAGCGTGTACACAGTTACCAGACTGTCGCCCAAACCAAGTATTTTTATCCACACCACAGATGCCCGCACACTATATAGTTTTTGAAGCGCGGCTGCTTGCAAATGCTTATGTCCGTGGGAGCCGAATGAAACCCTAAAGTCGGGGTCACACTGCCCATACATCCTACAAAAGACAGTCTGCCAACAAGAGTCACCGCCATATTCTTGGTTCGATTGCCGCGTGCTAAGTGTATCATCGGACTCACTGCTATGCGGCATTCGAAGCACGGATATCGCGGAGACTCGCGTTCAAAAAAAAAAGGTTGTGTGTCTGTTTATACAGCCTAGAACTTGGCCTGCCTCACAGGGGCGACGAGTCTCCCAGCTGTAGATGAGAAATTTAGCCAGTGCGGTACAACCGCTAGCCTGGGGTCTTTAACGTGCACCACGCAGCAGTGATACACGACCGCACGCCGGTACGATGCTCATCCAGATCGAAACGGGCAAGGGTGGGGCTCGAACCCAGGATCCCTGGGTTCTGCAGCGCGAGCTTTCGCTCCACGTGCTCCGAGCTGGTGTGCGCGACTCGCGTTCAAATCTGCATGCAGACTGTCTTTTATGTGATGTATAAGCAGTGTGACCTCGGTTTATACATTCTATAAAGATTAGGGCGTGGACATTACTTGAGGCGTGGTTCTTCCTCCTAAGACGTCCTATTAGTCATACATAAGCTGTCTTTACACATGTTCGAAGCATACATACGCACGAGGCAAACGTTCTTCGAACTATGCTTGAGGCTTGCCTACTGATAATTATCTCATCATGCCTGCAGCTAATATCGTGCCTTTTCTCTGATGTTTAGCCATATGACTGCGGCCTAAAGAGGCGCGGGAGCGTTTTTCTTGCTTTGCTGGTGTGCCCGCGCTATGTGGTTATTTCTCTGAGTCAACGACTTAGACTTCGACTGCGGCAGAAAATGAGAAGATAACCGCCCCCACCATTCCAAATCGGGCGCCTTTCCACACATCGGGAGGTAGACCTGGGCATCTTGTTTTCCCGCCAGAATGACGTCCTGGTTCTTTTCTAGCAGCCTGCGTAAACGTACATACGACAAATGCTACGATGCTGTTTTCGAAGATACGCGTGCAAGCATGTTTGCATGCCAGCAAGCAAACAAGTACGGCTTCATGGCCCTTTGAGAGTACTTTAACTGGTAGTTTCATGACCGTTTTAAGAATCATTGGATTGCTACACTGTTCCAACGAAGTCGTCTTATTTTCTGTGCTCTTACGTATAGACTCTGTCCAGTTGCCACGGCGTGTTCCCGTTGTTCCAGCGCGTGATCCAGTACTCGGACTGAGGCACGTCGGTCGTTCCTTCCGTTCCCACCATGCTGGCTTTCAATGGTGAAAAACTGCAAAGTAAAAACACACGCTCGAGTTATAATTGGTGAAAAGCTATTCATGTAGATTATTTCATTACTCGAGAGAAAAAACATTGCCTTTTATGTGAACAATTGACCGGTAAGTTTCTGATTACTTCAGATTTTCAAGGCGGCATTTCTTTCCGCCAGTTTTAGAATAGTCCTGTTGCAATGTCCATTATTGGACTAGAATCACCGGAGTACAAAATAAATCAATAACTTTTTGTAAACCATGCATGCATCTTACTTTTGGAGACTTGGTTCGATGAATACTGGGTAGGAAACTTGTGGAAACGAAAGGTGCAATTCTTGAGGGGAGGAGGAGCAACAGCAAGCAAATTGTTGTGTGTATGTTTATACAGCCGGAAGTTAGTCTGCCTCAGTGGGCGTCTGGTGTCTCAGCTGTAGATGAGCAATTTAGCCAGTGCGGTACAACCGCTAACCTGGGGTCTTTCCCCAGGTTAGCGATGCCTTGGGAATTCAATTTAGTTTAGAAAAGCAAAAAGGATAAAACAGGACCTAGCTTCGCTCTTCAAAGAAAAGTTCGCAATCTCTTGTGCCTCGCCCATGCAACTTCACACAGAGACCCTTTCAAACCTAGAATTCTCAGAATGATGGATTCTTGACAAATGTCAAACACTTACTTTGCGCGGGAAAACAAGACCACGTTTCTTTTTTGTCACACATTAACCTTGACACTATCTGGTTTTGGTCAACGTAATTACTTGAATGCTCAGTTGGGAAGCTGCCATGGGAGCCTGCTTTGAAAAAGTGGCTCCGATCTGTACTCGAGAACCAAACTAAACGCGATCAGGACGCCGCCATACTCCCGCAGTGGCCACTGCGGGAAGTACACGACTGCACATATTGGTTCAGGTCGAGTCGCGCAAGGGTCGGTGGCGCCATCTCGCAGGGCCATCTCGCAGTAGGTATAGGTAAAGCAACCTTTATGTTTTGACTCGTCGCTAAGATGTGGCGCAGGTATTGTATTTAGTTTGGTCTCAGTGGACGCCAGCATTCAAGGTTTCGAGGGTGAGTTTCCCAACTGAGTGTTTTAGTAGCGTTGATTTTGGTTATATTAGGCGTCTGGTGTACCACAGGGAGTATTCACTTGACGCCATAGCTGAAGGGGCTGTTTAAAGCGCACACTCACAACGAGCCCAGATTAATAGGTTGCGAAGGCCGTTAATCTTGATGGTGTGGATTGCAGGAAGCAAAAATACTGGGGAAGCTCGCCATCAGCAAGCGCTCAGCTGTAGCATACAGCTATGGACTCCAGTGTATATACCTTTCTTTAAGGGCGCCGCCATCTTGAGAATTACGGTGCCGACGACGCCGTCTAGTGGCTTAAAGCCTCAAATACCGGCTAGTTCTGGCAGTGCAGCTATCTGAGTAGGGAACGGTGTGGGTATGGGCGGAGCTTGGCTAGACTTGGCTATGATGGGCTACAATTACTTTGCCAGAACTTGACCGCCTGAATCGAGCTGGGTAATGAAAGGCCCACGACCTACCGTATTCCTTCCTGTACAGGTCGTGTACAGGCCATCACCGTGCCTCCTCGAAAAAATCAAGACGAAGATGGTAGGGCGGTCGTGATTGCGCTTCCAGAACGAAGGTTTATATGAGCAGTTTAATGTAGTTTGTTAGGGTCTAGGCGTTTAGTCTACATAAATTAACTCCATATGAGCTATCTTCCAACCGTTAGAGTCGTAACTTCCTTCTTCTCACTTGTCTCCGACCTGGCGCACGCTCTGCTGTCTCATCGCAATGTCCCCCGTGAGCAACAATGTCCTGATGTGCCACCCGCTGGGCAGGGCATGAACTCCGTGCTGAGCACGGTGGGGCGCGTGAGCGCGTATGTTTTGTGCCATAGCCTCCTCTATACTAACAAAGCCTGGCACATCGACGACGAGGTCACAGGGCATGCGGCCGCAGGAAAAAATTAGAGGAGAAGCGCGCGGAACGGTGACAAATATGGTAGCGCAGAGCAGAAAGGGCAGAAATAGTGTGCGAGCGCTTGGGTCATGAGCGGCCGCTCCCCGAACCACGTTTGTTTTCGTGTTTTTGTCAAAAGCGCGAGCCCAGCGCTTTTTGCGTTCCTGCTTCGCAGGCGCACTCAAGCAAAGCAGCAATGCACAAAGCGTCGATCGGCCGCTCGCTCTTGTGTGGCGCTAGCAGGCAATCTCCCTCTTCTCCCGATTCCCCGCCTCTCCTTTCCCATTTTCGGAGGCCGCCTCTTTTTGCGACGTGCCAGGCCTTCTCAGTATAGAGGAGGCTATGTCTGTGCGTGGCCGTGGCCACGCAGAGGCGCACCTCCACAACACACCCCTCCTTATTCTGTGAAGGGGACCCAAGGCTTGTGGAAGAGGACAAGTTTGTCTGCATTAGCCAAACCGCATGCTCTTCCTGTGGATGTGTTTTTCAGCTTATAGACATTTTGGCCGACTCAAGCTGTAATAGTGAAGGGTCCAGATCGCTTAGGAGCTAACTTTGCGGCAATTGCCTTGCTAGCATTTCTCAGAGTATGCAAGTCTTTTAGGACCAAATCCCCCACAGCAAAGTGGCTTGGTTGTCGGGTCGAGTTGTATTGTCGTCGCTGAATTTCTGGGCTTTGTTCTGGTGCACTCTCGCAAAGACCATGGCATCTTGTAGGCGCTGGTCCAGTTTCACTGCAAAGGTGTGGGGTGCAGAGGATGAGGCATCTGTGTCCTGGACAGATGTTGAGTCCCATGGAGTGCGGAGCTCCAGACCATTGCATAAGAAGGCTGGCGTGTAACCTGTCACTGAAAGTTCGCTAGTTCTCATGGCAAAAGCTATTTCGGGAAGTCGTTTATCCCAATCGCGATGTGCCTCACAGTATGCCATTACGGCTTGCTTGACGGTGGCGTTGTGGCGTTCTACCAATTGTCCAGATGGTCGATATGGCATTGTGTGCCGTTTAACGATACCCCAGTGACGCAAAACACCTTTCCACAGGGCGCTCACGAAGGTTTTGCCGTTGTCACTGGAGATGCTCTGTAGGACTCCATGCCGACAAAAAACTTCAACCGTTTTGTCCACTATAGTCCTCGGCGTAGGGGCACAAATGGGGAATAACTATACTTGGTAAATTGGTGGATCACAACGAGAATGTGCCTGTTTTTCCTGGATGTTGTTGTTAGGGGTCCGATCAGGTCGACAATGAGTTGCCGCACGGGCTTTGTGGCCCAAGTACTGTCCATTGAGCCTTTCGGTTTTTGTCGCCGTCGCTTCAGAGTTTGGCACTGGCAGCAGGAGCAAACGCACCGAGAGATATATGCCCTCATACCCAACAAGAAAAATTGGTCTTGGGTACGTCGCATTGTTTTAAAGACGCCGGAGTGGGCGCTTGGTGGATGATCGTGGGATAACCTAAAAACCAGATTACGCAAATGCGTAGGCAGTCATGACACTCTCTTTTCTCCTTTGATGTACATGAGTACCCCGGTATTGTCGATCTCACTGTCACCAGCAAGGTCTTGCACCTGACGTGCTTCACCGGCATCAGCCAGTAAACAGTTATTTCTCAGGTACAAGAGTATATTGCTCAATAGTGGGTCCTGCATTTGCTCTGCAGCCAATCTGGTGCCGCCACTTAGTTGAGAGATGTCATCCTCTTGTGTCACTGCAGTCTCTTCGATATGAATCAACTGCTCCGGTTCTTCTGCGTTGATAGGAAACCAGTCTTCGGCGACACACTGAGAGGGTGAACTGACGGTCACCACTGGGAATTGGCTCGGCGCATCGGCAGGAATATTAGCCTTCCCTCGGCGGTGCTTGATAGTGCAGTTAAAACCCTGGAGCCGAAGAACCCATCTTCCCACCCGACAAGATGTCTGCTCAGTGCTGAAAATCCATGAAAGTAATGCGTGATCGCAGTGGATCTAGAAGTGGGTAAACTCTATATATGGACTAAACCTATCGAGTGCCCAGACGACTGCTAAGCAGTCCCACTCTTGAATTGTGTAGTTTTGTTCTGCAGAAGTCGGAGTCCGGCTAATGAATGAGACGGGTCTGAGCTGTACTTCGGTTTCTTGAGGTAACACAGCGCCAATTCCCGCACCACTGGCATCTGTTTCAATCACAAAAAGCTTGTCCAGGTCCGGAAGGGCAACAACTGCATTGGCTGTCAGCTGGGTTTCTAGGCAGTCAAAGGCGGCCTGTTGAGGTGGTTTCCAACTCAAGCGGACATCCTTTCTCAGCAGCGCCATAAGGGGCTTGGCCACATCCGAGAATCAAGGATTAAATGTCCGCTAATATCCCACCAGTCCGAGAAAGGACTGAAGCTGCTTCACTGAAGTTGGTTCTGGAAATCATCTCGCAGCTTTTACCTTTTCGAGACCTGGGCGACACTCTCCGAATGCAATGACGTGGCCTAGAAACTGCGGAGAACGCAGTTTCTACTTTGGTTGGGTTGATTGTGAGGCCTGCATTAGAGATGCGGTTCAGAACCTCTCTCATGTACTCGACATGTTCATCAAAGGACTCTCAGTAGATGAGGGCGCCGTCTAGAAAAGCTATGCAGAATCTGTACTTTATGCCTTCAAGCACCTTGCGTATCAGGGTTGGGCAGTATTGCGATACAAATGTATCGCGATAGTATTTCAGAAATACATTTCGTATCTGTATTTCTGTATCGCGATACAGTTTTTTCAGCAGTATCTGTATTCCTGTATCGAAATACATTTGGAATGTTTCTTTGTATCGCGATACAATCAGGATGAAATGTATTTCGTTACATTTCTTGAGAAATACTCTCCCCCCCCCCCCCCCCCCCCGAAAAAAAAAAAAAAAGAAGCAAGTGCGAACGCTTTTTTTTTTTTTTTTTAACTTCTGAAGGCACCAGAGTCAAGGAGATGCTGGGGCCTTGTTACTATGCTGACCAAGGTTCCTTTTGATTCTGCAAACTATTTTTCTATGCGTCCTCTTCTCTCTTCTGAGAAGTATTGCG